TCATAAGCTGCAATATTAGTTTCGTCTCAGTAAATGCATGCTCTTTAGCGATGGTGAACGTGGTATCAGTCGCACGACAGACAGCATCGTGATGATTAAATGAAGGATTAAATAACGTTTAAAGAAGGTATAATAACGTTTAGTTTTTAAAACTAAATCTGTCAGGACTTTTTTTATTCTCTCGGATCCAGCTCTTTACATTTTCGCGGCTGTGGCACCCTGTCATCGGAACTGAGCAATTGACAGCTGATATTAACCAATCCCTTTGAGTTCTGTTCTAGCGCAGTGGGCCAATAAGAAGAGCTTGAAGGCAGGTCAAGCATTGCCGGCTTTTTTGTATGTGTTCTATCTTATCTTTTTAGATATTAGTCTGAATCATTCGGTTTGCGATGTGTACAACCACTTTAAAAACCTAAAAGACAACAAATATTTCTTCAAAAATGTCTTCAAAAATCATATTAATATGCTGATTTGGTACTAATAAACACTTCTTATTATTATCATTAATGCTGAAAACATTTGCTTCATATTTTTGTTAAAACATTTATTCCATTTTAGAGTCTTTAATAAAAAGAAAGTAAAACACTGATTATATATGAGTTTTCTTACATTATAAATGTCTGTACTGTCACTTTTGATCAATGTAACGCGTCCTTTCTGAACAAAAATATTAATTTAATAAAACTTCTTCTTTATTACCTGCTCTGAGCCAATAGTTTGGTTTTCGCTCCATGCACAGAAGCAGCATATTATTAATCATGAGAAACAATAAATCATGCAATTGCCGTTTTATTGTTCATTCTTGTGCACGCCCGATAAAGAATTGACTGCCAAGTTTGCTCTGATGTATTGCATAATTTATACAGTTTTTATGCAGTTCCATCTGCACTGGTTGAAGAATGCAAACAACTAAAGTTAACTTTCATATTTCAATATTTACTGTAGAAATAAAAAGAGAATTTTTGTCAAATCGTATTCTCATTTTTCACTGTTTTATAATTGTTTATATATCCTAATTTCAGATGTATTCATTTATGTATACTTGTACATTTCTGTCTTAATGAAATATTCATCTAATCTTTTTAATTTATCATAAATCATTCATTTGTTTTTATTTAATTATTTTCTTTCTTTGTTTCTTTCTCTATTTTAAGTTTCCTCCTTTCATTCCTTTTTTATCTTCTTTATCTTCTTTCTTTACTTTTCTTTTTTACTTTCATTCATTCTTTACTTTTTTTCAATTTCCTTGGTCCATTCTTCTTTCCTTCTTACTTTCATTACTTTAACTTTTTTCTTTCCTTCTTTCATTGCTTATTTCATTCATAATTTCATCCCTTCTTTCTTTCATTCCTTCTTTTGTTTTTACCTTCTTTCTCTACTTTCCTTCCTTCTTTTCTTAACTTTCTTCCTCCTTTTTATTTCTCTTTATTTTTTGTTTCCTTCTCTAATTTCTTTCTTTCCTTCCTTCATTCATTCATTCCTTCCTTTCTCCATTCATTCATTCATTCATTCCTACCTTCCTTCATTCCTTCATACATTCTTTATTGCCTTCTTTGTTTATATTCCTTCCTTCATTAATTTCTTCCTCTTTTTTTCTTTCATCAATCCTTTCTAACTTTTTACTTCTTTCTTTCAATTCCTTTCTTGTTTACTTTCCTTTTTTCCATCTTTCTTTCCTTCCTACTTTTTTTTCTTTACTTTATTCCTCATTTTCCTTTCTCTTTATTTCTGTTTCTTTCTTTCTTTCTTTCTTTTTTTCTTTCTTTCTTTCTTTCTTTCATTGCTTCTTACATTGCTTCAATCTTTCCTTCCTTCCTTCTTTCATTCCTTCTTTCTCTATACTTACCACCCTTTATTACCTTCTTTCTTCTTTACTTTACTTTATTCTTTTCATTAATTTCCTTATTCCCTCCTTCCTTCCTTCCTTCCTTATTTTATTTCTTTAATTTTTTCCTCTTTTCTCTTTTCTTTCTTCCATACATTCCTTCGTCACTTTTCTTTCATTCTTCCTTTACATTTCTTCCTTCTTTCATTCCTTCTTTTTCAGTCCTACTTTCTTTTTACCTTCTTTCTCTAGTTTCCTTCTTTCATTACTTTCTTACTTATTTACATTAGTCTTTTTCTTCATTCCCTCTTTCCTACCTTCCTTCCCCTTTTATCGTTTTCTTTATTCCTTTCCTTTCTCTTATCCATTCCTTCCTTTCTCTCTTTACATCCCTTCCCTTTTCTTTAATTCCCTTCATACCTTCTTTCTTTTTAACCTTATCTCGACTTTCCCCCTTCTTTACTTTCCTTATTTTTGTCTTTTGCATTTTCCTTCATTCCCCCTTTCCAACCTTCTTTCCTCTTTTCTCGTTTTCTTTATTTTTTTCATTTATTCCTTATTTATTTATTCATTCATTATATCATTTCTTCTGTACTCTTTCCTTCCTTCCTCCTTTCTCTCTATTTGTTGATTTCCTCCCTCTTTTTCTTTTTCTTACTTTATTTCAATCCTTTCTTCCTATTCTTTCTATTTTCTCCATACATTCTGCACAGCCCTTTATCTAAAAGTATCTTTTACAGAGTGATGAATGTTTGTCAGTTAATTGAGATGTTAGCATATAAACACTTCCATACTGATGATGAGCTCTTCCATCTCAAAGTCAATTATGTTAACCACTGATAAGGAGGCAAATTACTCTGAGGAAAAAAAAGAAGTGCAGTGTTAGCAGTGCTCATTCTTCATTGTTCTCTTGCAGCAGGAGTGTGACGACTCAAGCGAACACAACAGTAGATGTGACAGAAATGCTGCTCCACTGAACTGATTTCTTTCTCAGCTCAGGTGAGAACAAACACAAAAAGCTCTGCTTGTAGAGGGCACATTCTACACCTTTGTTAGTTTTTTTGCAAGTGAACAGCATATTGCAGTGCCATCCCAAAGAGACACAAAATCTATTTTACTCACTTTCACCTTTGGTCATTTTTCAAAAGACTGCATCTTTTTCCTGAACATTTACAGTAATTGTCTAACGCTCATGTTTTATAAACATTTTAACATGTATTCCGTAAAAAATAACACCCTTGTTCTGTGTCATGTGTTTGGTCAAATGGGACTATCACAGAACATTTTATTGCTCTTTGTTTGAATCTGATTGCTTTTTTTGTTATTACTTATACTCTCTACTCTATTCCACTAATATATTTATATACATATGAGTGACTCTACAATTGTGGGTACATTTTAAATCTTAAGATAAGGTTGTTGCTAGATCAGATACGATTGCATCTGGAAGTTAACGAGAATTATTTACATTATTATAAAATTTCCCATTTATTGTATTTTATTAACGTCTACCCCTTCCTCAAAACCCTAAACCCAACCATCACAGCAATGTAAAAACAGTAGTTGTACAGAGTATTATGTTTTTTATTAAATTACCCAATAAATTGTATTTTATTAATGCCTACCCTCACCCCAACATCACAGTACTGTAAAAATATTAATTATTGTTATAAAGTGCTACAAAAATGATGCTATATTGATGTGCATACCTGCAGCTGTATCCTACCTAGACTTCACCCCGAGCAAAAAAATTAATCCTGGGACGTCTGAGGATGCATAGGATCCACCAGTTGTAGCCTTCATTTAATAAAGGATGCATTTTGGGGCTGCATTTAGAGGAGCCTTCTAATTTGTACCGCAACACATTTAAGCATCTTGCAATATTTTACATTAACTTTAAATTCAGTTTACAGTAACTCATACATTTGTTATATATAAATGCGTACATTTTAACTTCCAACAACTTCAATTAAGTTTAGAATTTATAAAATACTTTACTAATCACTATCACTTCCTGTTCCTTTCAATTTTAAAATATAAAAAAACATTTGAAATATATATTACCAGTAAAATGCTGTATATGAACAGTAAGTATATTGATATGAATAAAACTGCAGATCAGTGCAAGTATTGCCAAAGTCAGTAATTATAGATAATTTTAGGAAAACTTTTGAGCAACATCTGTATTGCATTTGAACTCTACAGACACATACCGATAACGTGAGAAAAACACAAGTGTATTTTGGATGTTTTCTGCAGAGCGCCTAAAGTAACGTGCAAAAAAAAAAAAAAAAAAAAAAAAAAAATATATATATATATATATATATATATATATATATATATATATATAAAAGACTTAATAATGAAGACTTTAGTGTTTGCACGCAATACTATGTCATGCACATGGGATACTTTTGCATGCACTATGTATGTCTATGTCGTAAATTTACAGACTGATAACTTGAGAAGAAAAACAATTAAGTGTATTTGGATGTTTTCTACGAATGTACATATTGTGCGTGTATAACATACAGTGCTCAGCATAATTGAGTACACACCATTTTGAAAATGAATATTTTATCTCAGTGAATATAGGCAATGTATTGTGGTGCTTTTTAAACAAAACAGATTTATTAAACAGATATATTTATTAAAATAATATTTTAGTCACCAAACATATATAGATAAAATAATACATTTAAATTCAAGCAAAAAAAAAAATTACAGGCTACAAAATTTTAACAAAATTTCTAATTTTTTTACTTCTCTTGATTTATCCTCTTTTTAAAATTAGTTTTTACTTTTTTTCTATAACAAAAATTTGGGAGTACTGGTTTTTGGACCATTATGATAAGTTATTTTGTTAGAAAAGCTCCAGATTTGAGTTTAAAGGTAGATTTGTAAGGGGTGTACTTATAGATTCTGAGCACTGGACACATCATGTGCATGACATACTTTAGTGCCTCCACAGTTTTCTGTACATTAGACAGACAAAACATTTGATGAGATGCCAAAAAGCCCAAAATTGACAGGTGCATTAAAAACAGTGTCTCATTTCAAGCAGACTGTACAGTGAGCTGTGAAAGTGAAGTGAGGTGTCAGGTTTGTAAATGTGTGTGTGTGGCAGCTCAAATGAACATGTGGAGCGCCTGCTGATGTGGGAACAGCTGTGTACCTTGGCCCCATGTTTCTGCAGAACCTCCAGGATGTCGTTGTGCGCTCGTTCTGCTGCCACATGGAGAGGCGTCATGAAGCTGCACAACAGACCAACAGAGAAGATCACGACAAGGACAGAAACACCTTGCTATAAGTCTTCAAGGTAAAAACATTCGTAAATCCAGAACAATCCATTCACTTTCACTCACTCTTTGTTCTTCTCATTGACATTGGCTCCTTTCCGCAGCAGCAGTTCAGTGACCTGTTTTCGTTTTGGGTGAGGTGAAACGACCGCACAGTGCTGAAATACAGGACAGAGGCTCTCTTAGTGCTTTTAAAACATTTATTCACCATTAGGAAAAATTTCATGAAAGAAAACATTGTGAACATTCTGCAAATTAGCAGCTGTGTGAATTATTTGATGTAAATAGACTCACAAAATCAAGGAATACACTGAGCACACACATGTTCTACTGTATTATGCTTGTTTTTAATGTCTGTCGTCTCACACTATGAGGACATGAACACACAAGGTTCATCTGCAAATTGCTTTGTGATACACTTGTATACACAGCATCTTTACAACAACCCATCAAATTAAAAGTTTAGCTTAAGTTGAAGAAACAGAGACAAAACGTAAGCAGTAAATTGAACAGTAAAAATAAATAATAAAAGCTTTATTCTTTTTGAGAAAGTTTTTTTCTTACTGTATATTTTGCTTTTGGTAGAATTGTGTGTTGTGTTTCTGTGCTTGTCTGAGTTTTAGGTGGAGTTTGCGAACTTCTTGTCCAGATTGGATGACGCAGGTGACGTCATCGGGAGTCTCTGTATATAAGCCCTACAGCAATGGTGGCTCTCACTCACTCTCACACTGTCTGGCTGGCGCTGCTCTACGTATACCAGGATTGCTCTGCATAGCACTCTTTTCATTGTTATGCTTTGGTTATCTTATGATTCTTTAGCATTCGTAATGTGTTAACTAGATTGCTTAGATGGTTTGTTTATTTGGACACTTTGTTAAATTTTGTAGCAGGTAGTGGATATTAATTTCCATAGTCACGTTTTGTTATTTGTTTAGTTTAACAAGGCAAGCCGTTGTCTGGGAGATTCATCTGTTTTTATTCATTTTCATGAGAGATAGGCAAGATCTCTGTTGGAAGAACAGTCGTAGTCAGTTCTTGTTTAGCTGCCCTACACAGCTACTGGTTATTTAATGTTAATTTTTGTTTCTTCTTGTAAGGTTGATTGAAATTAGATTAAATATAATGATGTGGACATCAATTTGTCATATTCAAGCGTCTTTGTCTTTTATGTTCGGCTCAAATCCTGATTTCAATAATAAAGTCAGTTTTGGATTTTGGGCCGTAACAGCTTGTTTTAACTTCAATAGGAATGGAATAAAATTTGATAATTAGCTCAATTGTCAAAATTAATTGTTTCTTCAGTGCACTGTGTTGTAAATGTGGTTCAGTAATAGATCCTAACCAGTTATTATGTACTGACGTCATTTATATTATATGTGGTATGTCGTGGTAAAATACTATGGTGAGGGAGGCGAGCGCGAGTAATTAAATGCAGGAACTCTGCACAATTCACTGCGTGTTTGCTGGACAGTCATTTACTGACACTGAGGTTACAGAAGAAGACCCTATTTCACTGCTATAGAGAAAATGAAAGTAAACTCCATTTCTCTCTTTCAATGTCACTGTGGCCTCTTTGACCTGCTGTTGTGACATTATCTCTCACCTTGGTTGTTAAAGTGATAATTGTGGATCCAGACATGAGTGTGTCTGCAGAGCGAGTTTTCTCCCCCGCAGCTATTATAGATCAGGTGTGATCACTGCTGCCATTTATCAGTGTCACTCATCAGTGAACAGCAACAGCGCAGCCCTTTCTATTGAGCGCGTGACCAATCATAGGCATTTAACAACTTGCTCGACAACGCTCAGAAAGTAATATTTACGTTTAAGTAATATAAAAGTAATATTACATTTAAAAAATATACATTTTATTACAAAATATATTGTGTTGCTGAGTGAAATATGAAATTGTGTATGGAAAGCATTTTCTAGCACCATGATGGACCAATGTATCGAATTGAATCAAATTGATGGCATGATAATCATAACCGAACCATGATACTAGTGTAGGTTCACATCTTTACTGATAATACATTTAAAGTATTTAGTCATGCTTTTACCTATTATAGTTGAAACATTAGAATTATTCAGAATAACACATAATATATAATAGTGGGTGAGTAATAATTTTGAGAAATCTAAAATTCCTAAATTTAGCTTAAATGTTTTATTTTATTTGCATTTTTTCTATTCTATCTTATTTTTGCTTTGTTTCAAACGTTGCATGCTTTTTATCTACTGTAGTTTAACCATTAGAAAAATTGAGATAAATAAAAATGGTGGGAAACTATTTTTTTTTTAAATGCTGGGAAAATGTATTACTACCTTGCTATTTCAAATCTTTTAACGTTTCTTTGCAGGCCAATATTCCATATTAGACTAATTAGATTAACATATTTGCATCAATTACTTTTATTGTTGTTCTTTTATTTTAAGACACTCTTCATAAAACTGTCAGCCAAATTATTAATGCAAATGTAAATGTGTCTAAAAATATGTCTGACTCATTGATTTAACATATGCTACTAATTACCTCTTTCAATGGTTTAACAAAAAAAAAAAAAGAAAATTATTCAGATGTTATTGCGGAATGATGCTAAGTAAATAATTAATATACAGTCAATCCAACAATATTTGGACAGGACACTAAGTTTATGTAAGTGAGGAAAGTCAAATAAAAGTAGAATGTGAACTATTATACCCAAGCATTATAAAGTGAACTAAAAACCTTCTGTGGTTACATAGATTATGGCATGATAGTGATTAAATAAAAACAGAATATTGATATTTGCATGTTTAACCTCATCCACCGATCTTTAAAGTGCATGCAGACAGACTTACCAGTGCCGTCTCGTGCGTCTGCGGGTGTTTGAAGTTGATGATCTCCAAAGCTAAAGTCTTCTTCACCTTGGTCATGTCTGCTTCCCTTGCCGCCTGAAGCAGAGAGTGGCCCTTAAACTCGTCTGTGCCAGAGGAAAAAGAGAATATTTAGAGAAGTGATGCAAGACGCTCTGACAGAAGCCACTGGTAGACATAATTCATCAAGACAAAGCGTGAAAAAAAGTAATTGAAGCTTCACAGCTACAATGCAATAAAGGCTTTAAAATGTGAGGTAGGATGCCTAAAATGCATGACTGAAGCGTCTGACCTGATCAAATTAATGCCGAGCATTCAATTTGTTATGCTTCTGTTCAGAAGAAAGGCAGAGAGGGAAGATTATTCCTTCTGCACACGTGACGAGTTTAGTGAATAAGAAAACAGCAGGAAATTTTACACAGACAAACAAAGCTGTGCTGATATTTAGCAGAACTTCCTACTCGCCCACCCATTCACTTCTTAAAATTAATGAGAAATTATTTACTATTTATTATTAAACTGACTTAAAATAATGTTTAAAAACACTGTTAAATTTAGAAAACATCTATATGAATGTGTTGTTTTCATGATTTATAATGCTACAACACTGAAATTCAATAGGAGACAATAATTTCATTTCTATATCATCTTTATATATCATTACCATATTCACCATAGACACAAACATCATTTTTGAAAACATTTTGGCAAAGAAAACATTCAATGTTTACAAAAAGGTCTACAACTGTCACTGTGCCTTGCTATGGATACTACTGAGGTTTAAACGGTAAAGTCTAGAAGGGATACAGCTGTGGATTTGGACATCAGCAGAATTTGTTTGACTGTACAATAATTACACTTTTTACATTACTGTGAGGGTTGGGTTCAGGTTTGTGGGGTGGTAGGCATTAATAAAATACAATTTAGTGTAATTTCATACACAATATCAATAATAAATGATATAATTGTTATTTTTACATTACTGTGAGGGTTGTGTTTAGGGTTGAGGGGCGGTAAGCATTAATAAAATACAATTCAGTGTATTTCAGAAATTATATGAAATATTGATATAATTACTATTTTTACATTATTGTTAAGGTTCAGATTTTGGGTTGGAGGGCAATATGTGTTAATAAAATAAAATTTAGTATAATTTCATAAATAATATGAAAAATAATTAATGTTATTACTAGTTTGACATAAATGTTAAGGTTTGAATAGTGTTGGGGGCTGTAGGTGTTAATAAAAAAAATTGTATAATTTTATAAATAATATGAAAAATAATCTATATAATTACTAGTTGACATTATTGTGAGGGCTGGGTTTAGGGTTGGGGCGGTAGATGTTAATAAAATACAAATTGGTGTATTTCAGAAATAATATGTAAAATAATTAATAAACATACTAGTTTGACATTATTGTGAGAGTTGGGTGGCAGTAGGCATTAATAAAATACAATTTAGTGTAATTCCATAAATAATATGAATAATAATTTATATAACTACTGTTTTTACATTAATGTTAAGGTTTGAATTTAGGGTTGGGGGGCTATAGGTGGTAATAAAATACAATTTTGTATAATTGAATAATATGAAACATAATCTATATAATTACTAGTTTGACGTTATTGTGAGGGCTGGGTTTAGGGTTGGGGTGCGGTAGATATAATATAAATTAGTGTAATTTCATAAATAATATGAAAAATAATCTATATAATTACTATTTTTACATTACTGTGAAAGTTGGATTTAGGTGAGGGGGCAGTGGGTGTTAATAAAATACAATAAAGTTTAATTTTATAACTAATATGAAAAATAAAAGAATAAAACTACAATTTTTACATTACTATGAGTCAAATCATCAAAATAAAAGGTACAAAAGTGATTTCCTATGCATACGGTAGCATATTAAATGTAGTTATGTTGTCTATTTCAAACATCCTGGAGAAAAAATAAAATAAAAACGTGAGTGAAATAATGCTCTAATATCACTAGGCATGGCAAAAACATTTGTTCAAAAATTTTCATCAAAAAACATATTCTGACCTGTACTCATGAAAATAGTATTATTTTTAGATATATAAACTATTGTTACAGATGGCCGTAATGCTCTTAATGCTCTTTGAGATGCAATATTTAACCAAATTTCTATCAGTTTCGTCATATCTCCCAGCTTAAATCTGTCACAGGCAGAGTCAGAGAGTGTGTAAGACAGAGAGAGATAATGTGTGTGTGTGTATGTATAAACGACACAGCCATATCTAACAGCTCATAGTAACAGGTATTAGCTACCCCTTCTCAAATATTTTTGAGTGTATTTGTGAGTAGCTGATCTTCTCCAGCTGTGTTCTCAAGATTATGGAGGAATGAAGGCTCTGGCAACTGTTACTGAGTCACTATGGTTTTTACTAATGTTTGAGGTAATATTATGTTTGACCAAAACAACCTTGGAGTCGCAATTAACCAGTAGCTGTGACCATTTAGTTTTTTTCATTTTGTGATGAATTTCCTAAAAAATGGAATATTAAATAACAAAAAAGTGGGCATGGCTTGCTATTTTCTACTGCGAGCTGATTGGATGTAGTAAAGTAGACATTTCATTCAAAAAGATCAGAAAAAAGGTTTTGGGAGAGTTCTGTTTGTTGTCAATACTGGTGGTTGGAGGGCCAGACCACAGACAGATATAATCTCAACTGAAAAACTTTAAACAGGTGTGCATGAAACTACTATACTGCACACCTTAGAGCCAATCAGAAGCAAGAATTTCAACAGAATATTGGAATAATATAGAAATTATTAAAGGAATATCCAAATTTAACCCATATACACTTTACTAACAAATCAGAAGCACTACAAAACAGCCACTTGAATCTTAAAATACTCCTAGCATAATCCCAAAACCTAAACCAGCACAAATACCACATCAAGGAAAACCTGTACACAGCAAATAGTGTAAAGTTTGAGTCAGATCTGCATCAATCACCCCACACTGGGAGAAGCCAGATGGAGAATTCACAGGAAAAAATATATAACAGCGTCGCTTGCCAACCTCATCAGCACACTGGAGCTCAGCCGCTTCTGCGCTTCAATACTGCACAATGAGAATATTGTTTGTTTAAAGGCGTCTTTCTTTCTCTAAACCTTGATGTGTCTGTCTGTGTGCCAGAGAGAATGTGATTGTTCAGAGCTCGGAGTTCAGTCTGGCTCACTTACATTCGCGAGGTGAACGAGTGGGACGAGTTTTGTGGGCTCTGATGACAATTATGTTGAGTGCTGGTGAAAGATCCTGGTCTCTTGTCATTAATTCACTCTTGAGCAATGCGAAATAAGGCTGTTTTGAATGTAATGGTGGTAGGAGGAGTTGCATTATCAAGGCATGACTAAACCCACACAACACATTCGTTCAAAACAGTACGTATTACATTGTTTAATTAATATTCACTCATTGGCCATTTTTATTAAGTACACCTTATTCGTACCAGGTTGGACTCTCTTTTGCCTTCAGAACTGACTTAATCCTTAATGGTACTGGAAATGGTTTTGAGAGATTTTGGTCCATAATGCCATGATAGCATCATGTAGTTGATGCAGATTTGTCGGCTGTACATCCATGATGAGAATTTCATGTTGCTTGCACCAAATTCTGACCCAACCATCTGTATGTATGTATGTATGTATGTATGTATGTATGTATGTATGTATGTATGTATGTATGTGTGTGTGTGTGTATATAAATATATTCCCCAGGACTCCAGTTGGATGTGGCAGATCCTGATTGGGTGCCATGGTTGCTCACCAATTGGTTCAAAGCAAATAAATGCGAGTGTGTGCTAGCTTCTGGAGGACTGTGTGGCTACTTGGCCTTCCTCGTGCCAAGACCATCTTTTTTGGCAACCTTATGGGTTTTTTTGGCATTATTTATATGTTTAGTTAAAGTTTGTCATTTTCTTTATTATTCCCTAGACATTTGTTTGATTCTTGATTTGTTCTATTAGTTTTATATAATAAATAAGTTGCATATATATTCTTTTGTTGACTGAGCTTTTTTATGTTGCGACACTCAAACGAGGAGGTCGTAAAAACAGTATATATACACACAGTTAAAGTCAGTTATTAGCCCCCGTTTATTTTTATTTTTTTTCCAATTTCGGTTACAATTTTTATAGATTAACATTTTTATATTGTTTTCATCTTTAGCAATAACTCATTAACTTGAAAATGGAAATTCAGCTCAATTATTTAAAAAATAATAAAAACTATTTAAATTGAATTATACTTTTTCACAATATTACAGTATTTGTTATCCAAACACAAGTTAAAGTACAAGCGAAATCAAAATTAACCACATTATTTTGTTAACTCACATTGCTAGTTTTGTTGCAAATAATACATTTGTGCATGTCATTAGGGAAAACAAATGTTTGCCCTTGTAATCTTTAATCAAAATCTGAAAATGCACTTCCTTTCAGTTAAATTCTCAGATGACTTGATTTTGAGGTATTGGACTTGATTAACATACTTTAACTGTCAGTTTAGAAAACAAACAGAAATGGTGAGCAGGAGGTGTCTGTCAGGTTGTAATAATTCTTCTAAAACCCATTTCCTGACCTTTCTGAATGAAATGCCTATTTTACTACATCCAATCAGCTCGTAGTATAAAAAACAAGCCACACCCACTGTTTTCTCATTGAAAATTCAATTTCTCTAGGAACTGCGTCATAATATGAAAAAAGCGGTTGCAACTTCTGGTTCATGTGGACTTTAACATGATTAACGCAGCGTTGGTGAGCAGCAAAATCCTACTGACCCCTAAATTAAGTAGTTTTGTAAATGCAAGTAGAAGATAAACTCACATGTGAGCCTCTCTTTGAGTTCAGGAGTCGGGGCCATGTCCACCGCACTCTTCCCATGGCAGTTGACCAGCGTGGGGTCTGCTCCGTGACTCAGCAGCAGTGAACACACTTCCACACGGTTCTTCGATGCAGCCTCGTGCAGTGGGGTGAACTGCCAGAGGTCCATGGCATTGACACAAGCGCCATGCTAAAAAAAACACTAAGGATGAGATCACACGCAAAGATGGAGCCAACTCAGAGTCTCCACATCCATTTTCAAACACGCTGAGATCATTATGCAGTTCCACTTGAGCAGTTAGAGCAGTTTTAGCATAGATTATGTATTTCTGTCTATTAGGGATCCTGCTATGCAACAGAAGCCGAGTTAATAACATTGAGGGAAAAGGATATCGAACACGTTTCTAGAAAATGGCAGTACTCCAAGACAGAGACATCAACTCGCACTCAGAGGCAGGGGGTAAATAGAATCAAATGATTAAAGGAATAGAGCTTTCAAAAATGGCTTTCAATTTTCTTTCCATCATTAAATGCTATATAAAACAAGACAAAGTTCACGTTGCTATCTACCATACTATGAAGGTGAATAGATAACTGAGACTGCATTTTTTATGTAATAAAATGAATAAAAAAAATGAATATCTGGTGTCGTGTGGCCACATTTAAATATTCAATCCAAAATTAAGTCTTTTTTTGTCAAATATTGCAGTTTATGATAAATTAAGGCTGATTTATACTTGTTCATTTATACTATACTTCTTTATATTTATAACTTTGCACAGTATAATATATCACCGACCCTGACTAAACGTTGTGACGACAAGTAATGTAAGCACTGTTATTGGTTGGCTTTGTAGCATTGACGAGCATGGTTGGAGCGGAGAGCAGTAAGTGAGGAGCAAGCCTGTTGGCCTGAGTGTTTAACAAGTGTTGAGTCCGGTAGAGGTGCTCCAGATGAATACGTTTGTTTTGTGTTCACTTCCTGATTAAGGTTGTTGCATGTCCGGTTCCTCCCTCTGATTGAGCAAGTTTGAGCTTCTTGTAAAGTAAGGTAGCATGACAGGTATTTCCAATGTAAACAAAACCTCCAAAATGAAACTCGACAAAGAGGAACATAGAAACTCCACTACTAGCTACAGTAGTTTTTCAGAAGTGTTAATGCAGAGCAACACAAACAGAACGCAGTATAAATGCATAGTGGGATACAGCAGTGGTTCTCAACCACTAGGCAGTGGACTGGTATGTGGATCAATTGGTACCGGCCCGCACAAGAAATCATTAATTATTTCCATTTTATTTATTATCTGAACATATAAACGATCTTTTATTTCAAAAAAATCTTTTATGTTGTAAAATAACCATATTCTCTCGTTTATATCTCGCTCATTTAAGCGCCCAAATTTAACCCATAAGAAGCTAAATGAGTAAGAAACAGACGCCTTTGGAAAATTTTTTTGCAAGGGAAAAAGGCCCAGTAAAGGACCCACAAACTGCCAATAGATTCGTTGCCTATTTGTCAACAAATCAGGTGAATCCACCATGTCTGTGCAAGATCAACTGCTGGAGATCGCAAATGACAGCGGCCTTATAGTCTTTTCTACAGTTCGTGCAAGTTCGTTATTTCCAACGGAGGTGCGCAGCTTACGTGCATAAGCGGTGTGACGAGTTCGCCCATCCAGACGCACGCAGTTGAATGAATGCGGCGAGTGCACAGAGTCACATGACAACTAACCAATCACCTTTATACTTTGTATGGAATATACACAATTTGGTAGGCTAATTATCTCAGACAAACACAGAACACCCAAACACTGCAGTGCTTTGTTATTTTCTTTGAAAATAAAACTGGTATCAGAGTGACAGCATTGTGTTTTGTTAGCTTGTCACACTCTGAAAAAAACGGTTGATAGTCAACCTACGAAACCCATGATACGACCAGTTTATTAACCATAATTTACACCACCAATCCAGGCAATATACCACTTCAAACTGTTAAAATATTTAAAAAATCATTTTGGAAAGATCAAGATAAGATAAAGCAATTACGAAAGCATAGATAAAAAAGATAAAATATATGAATAACAAATTGCGGAAAACTGTTAATAATTTAAAGTGTGTATTTTAACTGAAAATTGCAGACACATTGTGGGGACAGCAGATATTTATAGACCCTTTAAACCAGGTGTAAACTGGGAGGATGTGGTCATTCACTTCCATCTTATGAAAACAAACAATGTATCACGACATACAGATTATTATTATCCCTATAAAACCCCTCTTGCGCTTGAGTCGTTCTTCTGAAATGCAATCGAGAAGAGTGCCACAAAAGCTCCCGAGGAACTTATAATCATCAAGATTAGATTGACAATGCGTCCATGTATGATAAGCGGTTTCATAATTGTCTTCCTGATCACATTAAATCTAATATAATGATTGAGGGGGCTTAAGGAGATGGGTGCAGCGTCTGATATTGACTGATATTGTGATAAGCTCTCCTGAGGCTGTGAATACTCTGCTCTGCTGTGTATCAAACTCCAAACATTGTTTTAGAGACAGATTGCCTCCACGGCAGGGCTCTGTTGACACAGTGAGCCGGGGAGAACACACCGTGAGCACACTGTTCCACATTACAGCTTTGTAAATAAAAGAAACTGGGCTTAAAGGCCACACTCCCAGGAACGTCTGGCTTGAGAGAGAGATTGTATTAGCACTGAAGATAAGGCTTATGCAAAAAAACTAAATAATAATAATAATAATCACTGAAGAAGTCTTTTTGTTCTTATTGGAATGAGATATGTGTTAAGGCAGGTATATTACTTGGAGGTTTCCTTCTTTATTTTTATTTTTTTTAATGGTTTAAACTTCAAGTCAATGGAAGCCAAAACTGTTTGGTTAACCAAATTCTTCAATAAATATATATTTTTGTCAAACAGAAAAAAAAGTGAGCAATAGAGTTATGATTTATTTGTTAAAGCTGAGGTAAACTAAAACTACAAAAAACATTTTGTTAAAGGTGCAATAGGTGATTGTCTTAAAAAATAACCTAAGGCATGGGGTCAAAGCTATCTAGATGTGATGTGATGAGTATTTATGCACTAGAATTGATAACGATTATTGCAAATAAGAACTTGTTTTATATTCAAATATAAGATTTGTATTGCAATATTTAGGTATCAATGAAAATACACAGAAGCCTGTGTGACAAAACAGAAATCATGTGACTGAAAAAATGTCTTATTGCAGTTGTAGCTGGTCAAACAAAAAAACAATCTGAATTACAGTTTTTATTTGCTTTAAAAAAATTGCTTTAATGCATTGTGTCTGGTTAGGTCATGCTGCTCAACTGGAACAAAGTTGTTTGTCTTCCAAACAGCGAACACTCAAAAGTACTCCCACTTCGTTTTTTTGTCCTTACCTTCAGCAGCAATTCTGTAACCTCATAGTGTCCATATGAGCAGGCATTGTGTAGAGGAACAAGACCCCTATTGATGACAAGATGGAGCGCGCATACACACACACAAGCACACACAAAAAAGCAAGCACACACACACACACAAACACACACACACACACACAGAGAGAGAGAGAGAGAGAAAAACATTATTTACAAATGATACAGAGGTTTTCATTATAAGAAATGTATAGAAGGCTAATGAACCAAAGCTTTTACAAGAGTGAAAAAAATTGAAAAGCGAATGGAAAAAGCATCTTTGGTTGAATGTTAAAAAATATAGGAAATCAAATTGAGACATTAGCAGACCTACCCTTTATCTTTAGCATGAACATCAGCGCCATGTTGAAGCAGAAGCTGAACTATTCGGACTCGGTTATATCCGGCTGCCAGATGCAGGGGAGTGGACTATAAGAGAGAGAGGAGGAAATGCATTTAAATATAGCTGGGGGTAAAAAAACTGAGATATAAATGCCGTTCAAAGATTTGGAGTCAGTAAGATGTTATAAATACTTTTACAATTTATTATTAATACTTGTTATTTAATACTTATCGATTTAACACATTAAAAATGGATGAATTGTGAGAGTAAACATACTTCTAAATGTTAATATTTCTGTTACAAACAAATGTTTCAAACACTGTTTTAAACAAGACATCTAGAAAAAAAAATCAAGAATATTAAGCAGCATGATAGTTTTTAGCATTTAGCATGTTAGCATTGTTTTAAATCAGAATACTGCTTTCTATTTAACTCCATAGGAAATTGTGAGACCTAGCACAAGATATTTCTATCAAAAACATAAAAATAAACAAATAAATAAATCATACTGACTCTATAAGCCTGAACGGTACGCAGTCATGACAAATCACCCTTCTATAAAACAATGACAAGCACGACCCTTCTTTTGCCTCTTTAAAAACTATTAGCGAAGCCTTTTTTCCTGAAATCGGGCTGCCTGGGGACTAAGGGAGGTCTTGGTTAGTCAAACATGTGAGAAAAATAAGCCTATACTAGCGTTCCCCTCCTTGAGAAAGAGCTGAACTCATGACTGAATCTTGCCGTGAGGAAGTCACACTTCATTGCAGCTCTGTGGCTTGTAAACCAGCCTGACAATCCAACCCTGTGCAAGTCAAAGTGCCCTACTGAGAATGATATAGGCTTTAGGTAGCAAAATACACGCAAACATAGTAATTAAGGTGTCCGCCACCATATATCTGTGCACAGTGGGATATAACAACAGTTCCCACATCACAGCTTGATCCCTGCAAAAACTCAAAAAAACATGACGCAGATGCAGAGGACTGTTTGAAGACACAAGAGCTAATTAAAGACAGCGGTTGATTTTTGTTTCAAGCCATCAATTATAAATTATGGTAAATTAATTCTTAACTTTCAGGCTCTGAGTAATTCATGCATTTGGCATTCAAGAGCAAAACACAAACAAAACGAAAATCGACAAAGCAATAAAAGAAAAAAACAAATGAGGATCAGGTGAGCACAATCAAAATCCAATCCCCATAAAAGTCTCTAATGAAATGCGACAAGGCACGCGGTCTTAAACCATCATAGCGATGTATTGATGCGAGCAAAGCACAATGCGCAACTTAATGTGTTTCCACGCCGTCTTCTGCGGTAAGCACGGATCATTCACCATACAGCTGAAAATGCACAAAACAATGAGGGAAAAAAAAATCAATCTAGATGAAATTGGAAAACTTTGAATTGTACCCTCCAATTGCAAAATAATGATAACAATATGCAGTGACGAGCTTTCAGATGCATGCACACCAGGGTGTTGGAGGTTGTAAAAGACAAGAAACAAATCAAGTGAAAGTGTGATCGGTGCGGTGGAAAGCTGTAGCAGTAGAGGAGGCATATTAAAGCTTACTGATCAAACCTCCTCTTTAGTATAGGTATTTCACACCAGGCTTAACCCTCTAACCCATTCACCTCAATCCATTGCATTCACAAAGCCGCAGAGTGTGAATAAAGCAACCAAAAAATGGCCAAAATCTGAATATAAAAACAAAAATCAAATCAAACCATAAAGTAATGAAATGAGTGCAACCAAGCGCATAACTGTAATTGAAAAAATAAACTTACCAGCATTTTTTGAGATGTCGACTGACAGACAAATCAAAACAAAAGACAACAAAAAAAACAAACAAAAACAAATAATGACATAATGATATCATTATGTGGTTCTGGCACACTCTGTAACAGTTTTGTACTTTAACTCACAAGCTCAATGCACAAATAGCAGCTCCGCATCGTTGGCAGCACCGCATTGTGACAGAAAATGAAATGATTTCAACACAAAGATGCAAAGCAAGCTCTCCATCATCCCTATGACTCTCCAAGGAGTTTGGACTGACTTGACAGAAGCGTTGGTACTTATTCAATGGCACTCAACCAAAACTCATTTCAGGCGGCTGTGACCAAGAGACCACACATGTAAAGCTGGTTTGTGGGATTCACAGAACACTGTGGTTTGCTGACGCATGTTTACATGGCCTACTGTATGTGTATTATCAGTACATCAATGCCAAACTGGAAAAAATACCAATCGTTATGGTTTATTACAAACACAAAAACATTCTGTTCAGTTTTATTAGTATAAACGAAGTCTCTTTAAGGCAAGTCATTTCACTCGGCGGCCTCTCGGGCAGTAAGCTCGGGATAAATGGGGAAACATCAAATTCTCCATAATTGTTTTTCAAGCTTTTGATTACACTACATATTGGGAATCACCAATAAAATTAAGCAATATCTGTCTCATAAGTTTGATTTCTAAACGTTCAAATCAAACAAAATCTGCATTTTTACTCGACAGGAATGAGATCACAATACCAAACTCATTTATAGCCGTTCTATACATCTGAATAATGCTTCGTCAGATCGCACTGCTCTTCTGAGGTAATTCACAATTTATTCTTGATGGTGAATCTCCTCCAGAAATGATAGTGACTCTTGTTTATAAGTTTGTGGGCGTTCGTGTAGTTGCTGTCATGTGTTGTACGTTTGATGGGATAGACCGTACCTTGCGTTCGTTCCATACAAATTATGAAACCAAAAAAAACATTTGTTTTCAAGTGTAATTGGTTCATTTAAAAGTACAGATTTCAAGCTTTATGTGGATATATTTTATATGTCTGTGAAGCAAGTATTCGCTTAAATTGCAGTGTGTTTGTCGACCACAAAAACGTACAAGCACATAGTGTTAGGGTCAAGTCCACTTTTGTCGAGTCCAAGTCAAGACCAAGTCCTTAACCAGTCGAGTCCGAGTCCAGAAGGGGTCATTTGCACACAAACACACTCATACATTAATGCCAATTTTGTTTACCCAATTCACCTATACCACATGTCTTTGGACTGTGTAGGAAACCGGATATAAATCAATAAATCAAATAAATTCAATTAACAATTGTTTAAACATTTAAATTAATATTTTAAACTCTCACAGCCAGAGAGTTCATTAAATTCTTGTTAAAATTTCATGCAGTTATTTATACATTTTTAATCTCTTTATTTGTGTTGTAGATGATGTGGACTCAAAAATGTCCAAGTCAGAGTACAAGTACACCTGAATCCGTGAAAAGTCCAAGTCCAATCAAAAATGGACTTGAGTCCGGACTCAAGCCCGAGTTCAAGTATGAGTACCTCAACACTACAAGCACGCATCTGGTATGAGCTTCCTCTCCGGGAGAAACGTCAGTCTATAGCGATCGATGATTGGCTCCTGTACTAGTAGGCAGGGCTTCAATAACCATTTTGACTGTTATAATTTTCCCCAAATCAAAACAATACCGGTGACAAGTCTTGTGTATTCTTTGGTATTAATGAACATGTACAGTCAATTCCAGTGCTTCTATTCCTAGCGGATGACCATCTGTTAACCACAGAAATGTGTCTGTAAACTAAACCATTTTAAAGTAACAATACATAAGAGCATTTGCCTAAAACCTTGAACGTAAATTTGACCCATTTTAAATGACAAACATGAATACTCATCCATTTTTCTCTATACCATAAAGTCCGATTCAAATGAGGATTACTTGCTGAATTCATCTAAACAAACACCAGATTGTACTCTATGGAAGATTATATTCTCAATCTCATTTGGCAGCACATCTATCATAGTATCAAGGTCATCCTGACATGACACTTGTGCATCAGACACTGAGACTAAAGCGATTTAATCTGCCATTAGCGTTTTAGCTACTTTAGAGCATGGCTGTAAGGGAAAATAAAAGACAGCCCAATACCGAGCCTTGGAGAACACCTTGCCATTTTACCTGTTATGAGGATGTTTTGCACAACCTGAATCTTGCATATGTAAAAGTCAGGAGGCTGGATCACCATGGTGACACAGTCATACTGTAGCCATGGCTACACTCAATCATTTGAGCCCCTCCTGCCAATCTGTCCATCTTACAGAAAGCAAAACAGGAAAGACATCCTGCAGAAAGAGCCCACATTCTCATGCTCTGCGCAAAAGACAAAATATAATGGCAACTTAACCGAAGGCTATTAAATCTGCTTCTTGTGCAGATCCTCCATCAATTTCTTTAAGAACCCGACACACCAGCAGAATTGCCGTCTCACTCGAGAGCTGTTCCTATTGAATCACTTAAGATAAATGTGTTGCCTAAAGATGTACAGCTGGAAATAATACTCCATACATACTCCAGATCTCAAAATCCTAACACTGTTCAAATTTTTTTTTTTTTTTTTTTTTTAAAGGCATCACATTTGAGACTAATGAAATTCTGATTATCCTTTGGCTGTCACATAAAGTCTTTTCTGGCGCTGGCAGAAAGATCAGACAGGTGAACTAGAGCGAAGATCTGTGTCCATTCAGATGGCTTGTAAAAGAAAGCAGCGGTGAAGCGGTGTGGCAGGGTTGACCTTTTGCCAGCAGACCCTGAAGCATGAGAGTGAGACGAGCAGTGCAGGTCATTCAAATGAGAAAGTGTTTCAAACAAAGGCTGCCAATAAGACAAATCACTGAACGCTGAAGCTGACCCCCTTGAACAAGTTAAATAAATTGTAAAATAAAATTATAAAGTTAACACATTTCTAGCCCAGCTAAATTCACAGAGACAACTGTGCAGGGAATTTTATTTCATGACACATTTCACGCTAATGTGATGATAAAGAGAGGAACAGTGTGAACTTTTGAGCAAATACAAGCAAACAAAATGATAATCTCTGGAACGGATTAAAGAGATTGTGAATGAGTCTGTGCTTCTCACATGTGAAATGTGGGATTCTAGTTCTTTCTCAACAAACATGAAAAAGACGATCTATACCAAAACAGGTACCAAAAATGCTAATTGCTACGAATAATGAAAGTTTTAAATAACTGTTATGCACAATTTATATCCTTTAAATATATCTATTT